TTTTCCGTCCTTCCTGTGGTAGCAGTAACAGTACTTTGAACAAAAACATAGCGAAAAACTCAAAGCGACACTTTTCCAACAGAACGAACATCGCTTCGACAAATTCACACTAATTTTCATAAGGGTGCGTTCCGTATCAAACCTTTTTCTGCTCCAATCCATCCTTGTCAAAGAACATGCTGTCCAAACGGACAAACCCAACATGTTCGCTTACAAAAGAGCGAACAGGAACAACGAAACGCGACCTGTTTCATTTTTTTTATTCGCGTTTTATAGCGCCGGTCCCAGTAGGTCACGACGGTCGTTTGTCAAAATATTTATTCTTTTGTTTCATGGGAAGAGCATAAATAGCATAAACACAGGCGACTTGATGTTCGTAACGTAGCGATTCCGAGAAATGTCGTAAGCGCCAGGTTATGATGGAAGATGTTAGGTAGGTAGGTAGGATAATGCGACAAGAAAAGGCTGTTGAAATAGGGTGTTGCGTTGTTGAACTGGAAGAAAACTTGTTTGCTGGGTAAGCTATTCTGATGTTATGGTCTATTTTTCCGTACTTCTTCAAGGTCTTGTACAAAATAAATAGTTTTTTAGTAACATACTCAAATGTCTTAAGATTACCTAGATGTTACGCTTCGCAAATTCAACAAACCTAAACAAAACCTAATCCGATCCAACAACTCTTAATTACTACTTAACTTGAGGTGTTTTCGAAATGTTACCGAGGCTTCGGGAGCGCATGCAGATCGTTTTCCTTCGAGATTTCTTTGGCTGTTTGTGATCTAACTAAATATTTAGCATTCAAAACTGAAGTGTTCCTGAAGGCTCCGTGTTCGGCCCGTTACTCTCTTTATTTTATCATTTGATTTACACTGCAATATTTAAACTTACGCAGACGGCAGCTGACATTTGATTCATTTGACTTGCATGGAGTGTCATACAAACTGAACTTAGATATAGTTAATATTGAAGATACTATCTAAGATCAATGTTACAATATGCCATGCTATGCTGTTTGGCCCAAAGCAGTTATTACAATGTTCAGAGGCGACAATTGTCCTTAATCTTAATAATACGTATATCCCCACCTGGACCATGCAAAGCATTTAGGAGTAGTTATGGACTCAGGGATGAGCGTTACAAATTTATCTAGATTAACATACACGCGTTTGAAGATTTATATTCTAATGGACATATTTGGAACTTCTAGACTCCCAAAAAACTAGCTGAAACTTTGATTTTATCCAAAATAAATTATTCAATTGGTGTTTATTCTCCTTGTCTTGACATTGATTGACAGTCAACTGACTGATGGAAGGCCGGAAATTTTGAGTGTCATTTCTTCTTCCTGTTGAAGTTTTTGGTTATTTGGGTGTGTGGGCCCTTCGTTTAGTTTCCAGGTTTTGGGATATTAGGCCTCAATCATCAGGTTATGGGGTAGCAACTTTTTTGTACCTAAATTACGTTTAGTTATTTTGGTTGCTATTTGGGTGCTACTCTCTCCATTTTTATGGGATTTTAACCTCTTCAGCGTTGGAAGGCATTGAGGAGAACCGGCATCTGCACTAATCTAGCTTTGTAGCTGTTTTGTAGCAGATTTCGATAAGAAATAATGACTTTCTCGTAAGAAAAAATAACCCTGTTTGCATCAGGTTTGTTCATGGTCTGCGAAAGTTTAGCCATGTGATACAAAAGATCAATAAGTTTCATCGTAGCTTCACCTACAATGCTGTGAAATCACATGATGCTCTTAGGGTGGATTTCACCTAGATTGTCAAATCAACAACCCGTTATTTACCAACAAAAGGGTCAAACATGGCGAATGTGCTTTAAGATCCATTCAACAAATTTTAGCAATCGACAGCTGCGAAATATTGAAAACAAAATGTTGTCAAAGTATGCGATGACAGCTCGTCAGTTCATCTAGCTTATTTCATCTTTAAGCCTCGCCTACCTTGTTAATACGGACTTGTTAATTTCTTTAAATGTTTGTTAGCGAATTGTTATTTTTTAAGTGCTTTTTCCTTCGCTCATGCTAGTGAAGAAAGCTTCCATCGAGTGTCGTTTGTAATAGCCAGAAACCATCTAGTAGCATACCACAAACAATTTCAACAGAATACCATCCACAAAAGAAAGACGAATTCCACTTCCCAAATCACCAACTGGCACCTATTATACAAAATTCGGTACAACGTACACGTTTCGACGAGAACGCTAGCCCCCCTCTTCATCCCCCCCTTCACCTGTGACTGCGGGCATTGAAACAGGTATTTCGGTAAGACGGTGAAAGGATTCCAAAGACTACATAAAGTATTTCAAGGTTATCGTATACGGCTCGCCGGCAGCCAGGCGAGAGTTTCTAAAATCATCGGTCAAGATTTATGTTTGTGATTTGTTTTTGTTTTCAACGATGTTCGTTGGCTCCACTGTCAAAGTCCGGGCTTCGTCGAGTCACAGATGTTGGTCATTGGTGGATGGTTCAATATCCCTTTATTATAATAAGTTCATTTCCAATAGGCAGATACAACCAGTTGCACAAGGCACGTGAACATACATGAATAAGAATAACAGTATATAAGTAAATAATCAACAATAATATTAAAACTGCATCAAGGTAAAGTTCGACGACGCGAGATTTAGTGTCAATAAATATCAGTGACATTAAAACTGTTACACCCAGAAAAAATAATTTCATCAACGATTCTGTCTACCTTTGTTAAAATGTTATCTCTTAGTTAGTGATTTAATCTCAGGCGACAAAATATTAATAAAGATTGAAAATTATAAAGGCCCCAAGTTAAACCCCTGAGGAACTCCTGAAGTAGCTATGTAGTTATTAGACTTGAACCCACGATACTCCGAAGTGTTCTGTCCGAAATATATGACTGGAGGAGCGAGAGTAGATTTTAAAAAAAATCTAAGGTTTGATAATTTGTGCAGTAATAAGCATTGGTCAATTCGGTCAAAGGCTCTGTTTATCCATATAGATTAGTTACGTCAATCTGACCGTGCTGATCTTGGCAGCAAATCGGGTAGAACAAGCTAAAACAGAAGTCCTATACCCATGTTGGAATTCAGAGATATGGGGTTTGAAAAAGAAATAATTTGAAAAAAATAACACAAAATGACAATATGACGGTAATTCGTAATATCAAATGTATCATCGCTCGTTATACTGATAAAGCCTGATTAAAACATTACAGAGAGTTAGAGAAATGCCAAATTGAAACTTATATATATCCTTGAATTTCTTTGGGCTGAAGCAACGTTTTGCAAACCAAATGGTGTTTCAAAACGAACACGGGGATGAGAGCACTTGTTACAAATAAGGGCTGCAACCTCAACGACGAGTAAGTTGTATGGCAATTTAAATCTGTCCCGTATTGGTTGCTAGCATCATAATTGTGTTTTCAGCTCCTGATGAAGGCTCCATAGAGAATTGCCGAAAGCTCGATACTATCGTCAAAAGAGTTAACTAAAGCCTAAGAATTTCCCAATTAACAATTAATTGTATTTTTTGCTCAACTGGTCGTTGGCAATGGCAATGACTATTGCTCATATATAAAATATATATATATATATATATATATATATATATATATATATATATATATATATATATAGGTGAAAAATTAAAGCTTCCGCCTTTTGTTGGGTACTTCGACAAAATTTAAGCAAAGAGGACTCTTTATACTTTTTTAATTCTCTCTAGCTTTCAATGGACTTTGCCATCATCATCAGGAGCTGCAATTACAATGATAACAGTAGCAACAAAAGTGTAAAATGAATTTAAATTGACTCAACTTACAGTAGTATGTGAGGATGTTGCTAATTGTTGTTTACGTATAGGATGAGGGAAACGTCCAGTAACATGGTGACAGCTGGATAGATGGTACAATGGTCAAAATTATATAAAATATGACAAGAACAAGTTAAAAACAGATTAAAAATTATTTAAAAACATTAAAGCATTACATCGTGAAGCCACTTGATGATTGCACAAAATGGTGGTCATGGAATAATGAGTGAGATGAACCCTTTGACAGAAGGCCGAAGGTTGTCAATGTCTGTGTTGAAAGATGGAACGAATTGTGGGCGTGTGCCAACGTTGCCAAATCACTTCAGATGATGTGATTTTCAGAATGTTATGTAAGAAATTGTTAAACCGACCAGAGGCAGTTGAATAAACTATATTTTAATTAATGGGAATTTAAATTAACAATTATTAATAAATCGTGAGAAGAGAATTATTAGATTTTGAGTGGAATGAAATTTACTGGTGGAATATATATATATATATATATATATATATATATACTACTGTAAGTTGAGTCAATTTAAATTCATTTTACACTTTTGTTGCTAGTGTTATCATTGTAATTGCAGCTCCTGATGATGATGGCAAAGTCCATTGAAAGCTAGAGAGAATTAAAAAAGTATAAAGAGTCCTCTTTGCTTAAATTTTGTCGAAGCACCCAACAAAAGGCGGAAGCTTTACTTTTTCACCTAACTGGTCTAGACGACAATGACCACGTCTCAAAAAAAAAAATATATATATATATATATTATAAGTTTGAGGCTAGAAAAAAATTAGTTGAAAGCAGGATCCTGTCATGTTTAAAATGTTCCTTAATTTTGTATTGTGAACACGCTGGTTTACATTTTGAGGAACAAAGATTTATCAACAATAGAATCGAAAAATATTAACGCTTTTTCGAAAAATAAATTCATTTTTGAAAATACTCCGGCTTACTTAGTGCCATATTGAAAAAAAAGTTGTACTCCGAAGATAATTCAAGAATGATTTGTTTTATAATGATATGCTTTGTGAGTTTGTTGTTAAGACTGGCTAACATACTCTTGAAGAAGTTTTGATAAGTTTTTCGTGACAGAAATGGAGACAAAAGCGTAAAAGTATTTACATTGAATATTTACGTCTTTATTTCCCAAAGCCCTTCATTTGAAGCAACACGAGCAACGACCGATTCCTTTCAAACACTTACCTGATATCGAACTCGTATCGCTCTTAGCGATGGTATGGTTCGTGATGATGGTATGTCCAGCCACCGTATACCCGTTCTGTATAACCAAGTTCCTCGCTTGATTCTGATGGTTGAGGTCCAGGTCCCAGAACTCGAGGTCGACATCTCCGATATCCCCGGAGGCTAACGAGTTGGCCGGGCTCATTCCTAACGTTGACGAGGTGACCTCGGAGCTGCTTTCCTCGATCTTGACCGGTTGCAGACCGGACCAGCGACGCTTCATCGTACGACCAGGCCCTATCTGGGCCCAGATGCCTTCGAAAGAACCAACGTGGTAGTCGCGTGAAACGAGTCGTACCGCAGCGAGGTGGATGTGGTTTTGGTATCGCAATGTGACATAGAGATCACGAGATATTAGTAGAAGGACATGTAGGCCAAATCTAAAATTCGACGACCTGGCTTGAAGATTGAACCCCAAGTACACTTTGCCCACTGTCAAACATGGAGGCGGGTCTGTTATGGTTTGAGGGTGCTTTTAGGGGTTTGGGATGGGACCTTTACTTAGAATAGATGACATTATGGATAAGTTTGAATACATAGACATACTAAAGCATGTCATGTTACCCTATATGGGAGACAATATGCTCTTAAGATAAATCTTCCGGCAAGATAATGACCCGAAGCACACTTCAAATCTCGCAAATGGCCTTCAGTCTCCCGATATGAACCCCATTGAAAATCTATGGGAATATTTAGATAAGCAAATACGAGATAAAAATTATTCAAACAATGCCGCTTTAGAGCAAAAGTGGAGACAGATTGATGAAACAAATTCAAGAAACTTCTACAATCTATGCCGAGACGATGCCAGGTGGTGATTGATAATAATGGTTATGCTACAAAATATTAACACAAACATGGTTGGTTTTCTATAATCCAATGAACTTTGCTTCTTTTTTCTATAATTGTTTTGCTTTGTCTATATATTTTTGTCCATTACTGTATACTACACGACATAGAAAATGGAGTGCTGAAATTTTGAGCATACGTTTACAAGTTTCTCCTGATAAATAAAAAGTGATTAAATATTAACTCGAAATTTCGCAAAATAGTTGAGATATCACACCTTAATGTTAATGTTATTGGTGTATTCTTTAGGATGATGTGTACAATTTTAAAAAAAATCACCTTGCTACATTTCCTCAAATACTACGCTATTTTACACTTATAGGTTAGGATATCTCGTAAACTAGAGCCTTTGAGAAACTTGGAAAAATGCGCTCTGGTTCCTGGTTAAAAATCTTGTCGGCATTTGTTAGGTATGACTTCCAAATCGCCATCTGATAACTGGTTCGACAGATATTTCAAACAAAAGTGTTTTCATGAAATTTTTATTTTTTTATTGATAATTCGAATGAATTCCCAAACAAAAAATCGACAAATTAAGTTTTTTCGTAACAGAGATGGATCAACGTATAATCCTATGTTGAGTTTTTTAAATCATATAGGCTTTTAGAATCAATCAATCAATCATCAACACAATGCTTAATCTTAATTATTAAATTAATTATAACGTATGTATATAACGAGATACTTGCTAAAAAACATAGTTCAGTATACAGTGTGCAATCTCAAACATTGTTTACACTCTAGAACAAATCGGAATGATACAAATATCTTCCACATACAGTTCACAGAATTGTCTGCCTTTTTAAAATTTGGGCTATTTGAAAAAAATAGAATTTCGAAAATTCGCAAAAACACTTTTAAAAATTCCTGCTCCACAATTTAAAAGGCGAAACAGATATTTCTGTTAGCTCTGCGATGACCTGGCAACATGCAACGCCTATACAAAATGGATGCGTGGAAATTCGGCTGTGTCAAGACCACAACTTTCATTTATTTCATCTCTTGAACAATGTTGCGCAATATTCGATTTCGTCCCGAATGTAGGTTGAGTATTGTCTGTTGAAAACGCGACGACTACACATTGCTACACACTGACGTTGAAAAACCTACGTAACATTGAACTTTATATAGATTTTTCGATATTATCGAAGAAAAAATTAGGTACTTAGTATATTTGATTATTGTGCTTTTCCAAAAATTTCTTTTACGGGGTATGCCAAAGTATGAAATACTACCTCTCGCGTATGCATATACAGGGTGCGCCATTAAAAATGGGAAATCTGAATCGGCTATAAAAAAATCTTATGATTTTATCTAAAGATTTTTTGATTTTACTGGCATGCCCTTCAGAACAAAGTAGCACACAAACTCCTGTACACATATATAGGGTGAATCATTTAAAATATGAAAATGATTTGGCTATAAAAAAATCTAATGAATTTTTTTAATATTTTGGTTTCAGTAGTCCACCCTATAGACTATGGAAGACTCATTTAGGCAAGTTCTAATTGTGTATATAAAGCATATGCATATATAGGGTGAATCATTTAAAATAAGAAAATCATTTGGCTATAAAAAAAATCTAATGAATTTTTTTAATATTTTGGTTTCAGTAGTCCACCCTATAGACTATGGAAGACTCATTTAGGCAAGTTCTAATTGTGTATATAATGCATATGCATATATAGGGTGAATCATTTAAAATAAGAAAATCATTTGGCTATAAAAAAAATCTAATGAATTTTTTTAATATTTTGGTATCAGTGGTCCACCCTATAGACTATGGAAGACTCATTTAGGCAAGTTCTAATTGTGTATATAATGCATATGCATATATAGGGTGAATCATTTAAAATAAGAAAATCATTTGGCTATAAAAAAATCTAATGAATTTTTTAATATTTTGGTTTCAGTGGTCCACCCTATAGACTATGGAAGACTCATTTAGGCAAGTTCTAATTGTGTATATAATGCATATGCATATATAGGGTGAATCATTTAAAATAAGAAAATCATTTGGCTATAAAAAAAATCTAATGAATTTTTTTAATATTTTGGTTTCAGTAGTCCACCCTATAGACTATGGAAGACTCATTTAGGCAAGTTCTAATTGTGTATATAATGCATATGCATATATAGGGTGAATCATTTAAAATAAGAAAATCATTTGGCTATAAAAAAAATCTAATGAATTTTTTTAATATTTTGGTTTCAGTGGTCCACCCTATAGACTATGAAAGACTCATTTAGGCAAGTTCTAATTGTGTATATAATGCATATGCATATATAGGGTGAATCATTTAAAATAAGAAAATCATTTGGCTATAAATAAAATCTAATGAATTTTCTTAATATTTTGGTTTCAGTGGTCCACCCTATAGACTATGGAAGACTCATTTAGGCAAGTTCTAATTGTGTATATAATGCATATGCATATATAGGGTGAATCATTTAAAATAAGAAAATCATTTGGCTATAAAAAAAATCTAATGAATTTTTTTAATATTTTGATTTCAGTGGTCCACCCTATATACTATGAAAGACTCATTTAGGCAAGTTCTAATTGTGTATATAATGCATATGCATATATAGGGTGAATCATTTAAAATAAGAAAATCATTTGGCTATAAATAAAATCTAATGAATTTTCTTAATATTTTGGTTTCAGTGGTCCACCCTATAGACTATGGAAGACTCATTTAGGCAAGTTCTAATTGTGTATATAATGCATATGCATATATAGGGTGAATCATTTAAAATAAGAAAATCATTTGGCTATAAAAAAATCTAATGAATTTTTTTAATATTTTGGTTTCAGTAGTCCACCCTATAGACTATGGAAGACTCATTTAGGCAAGTTCTAATTGTGTATATAATGCATATGCATATATAGGGTGAATCATTTAAAATAAGAAAATCATTTGGCTATAAATAAAATCTAATGAATTTTTTTAATATTTTGGTTCAGTGGTCCACCCTATAGACTATGAAGACTCATTTAGGCAAGTTCTAATTGTGTATATAATGCATATGCATATATAGGGTGAATCATTTAAAATAAGAAAATCATTTGGCTATAAAAAAAATCTAATGATTTTTTTTAATATTTTGGTTTCAGTGGTCCACCCTATAGGACTATGGAAGACTCATTTAGGCAAGTTCTAATTGTGTATATAATGCATATGCATATATAGGGTGAATCATTTAAAATAAGAAAATCATTTGGCTATAAATAAAATCTAATGAATTTTCTTAATATTTTGGTTTCAGTGGTCCACCCTATAGACTATGGAAGACTCATTTAGGCAAGTTCTAATTGTGTATATAATGCATATGCATATATAGGGTGAATCATTTAAAATAAGAAAATCATTTGGCTATAAAAAAAATCTAATGAATTTTTTTAATATTTTGGTTTCAGTAGTCCACCCTATAGACTATGGAAGACTCATTTAGGCAAGTTCTAACGGTGTATATAATTTCAGCTTCAAATGTATCAAAATATTTTTTTATGTAACGCTCAAGGTTTTGCCTTTGGTGGTTTGCTTTTTTATTTTTTATAATGTTATATGATTTAATTACAGTGTGTGTTAGATGGAATTTCGTATATTTTACGAACTGTTAATGAGTTAGTCATCGACAATTTTTAACACGTGAACGCACAACCATAATTGAAAATGACACCGAAAAAAAATCTATTTAATGTTTGTTATTGGCAGCAACCGCGTGTGTCAACTTGAATCAAACAAATCAAATTTATTTTTTAGCAAAATCTATCTGTTTAATACTTATAACCTCTATTAGCAATAATATCTAACACAGATCTGAAGTCATTAAAGTCGTTGTTTAAAAATTAGCGAAAGTTCACCTCTAAGGTTCTATTAATATCATGAAAAAAGTTGTATGTCCTAAAATTTTTTAAAACATTATACGAAAAAGCCCATTTTCAGTTCTCGTATCACCTTGCGCAAACTTGTCACAATATCACGTATTCTTATAGTCTCTGATTAATAAATAATATTTATATTGAGAAAGGATGGAATTATAAAATATTTTGTTCGATACAAGCGAAAAGTAGAACGCCGCGCGATGTTTAACCATAACATTACTTTTTCTTTTGCACAAATTATATTATTGCAATCCGTGCTCTACATAAGCGGTGCCTCGCTGCTAGTAAAACTGATACGGTTTTTATCCATATTTGTCTAAGGAGGTTAAACACACTGTCAACCGGCTCGCACTATTTGTTGTTATCGCCGATTTTCTTTCACTTTTCGCAATGGCACGAGACATCGTTAGAGAAAATTGAGTTATGTAGGCAAAAGCATAAATACCAGGGTCCACAAATCCCGTCGAACCACATGTGGCATTGGAGTTCCCCAAGGCTCAATACTCGGACCTATCCTACAGATAATGTACGTAAATGATTTCAACAACAGTAACTTTAGTTATGTATGCAGATGATACGTCTCTCTTAGGAGATGCAACCCTAGCTGCATTCGCGACAACTGAATTTACACGAATTAGTCAGTGGTTTGTTGATAAAGGCCTGGCATTGTTTGTTCATTTCATTTATACACGTATATCGGAACCAGATCACAGCCTACTAATTAAATCTCAACAATTAACAAGTAAGCAATGCGAGACATTGACGGTTCTTGGACTTCATCCGTCTTACAATTGTACTTGGAACCATCACATAGATCGCCTTTGTAGGAAAATCATTACAGTGGGGTATCATCAATAGACTGAGGTTTATAGTTGATAGCTACCTAGTACTAATTTACTATTTTTCCTGCTTTCAAGCAACTATTTCCTATGGTATAATAACTCGGGGAGCATCTTATCTAGCAAATAGGAATTTTATTATTCAAAAGATGGTTTATCAGATAAATGACAGAGGTAAGCAAGTTGAGTATTTCTAGAGAGATCTTTGAAGAGATATGAATTTTAGACGATCAAAAAACGAGTGACAATTGAAAAAAATATATTCATTTCGAATTATGACATTCAGAATTTTTTTGACATCTATCTAGAGATACTGTGCGACCTGACTGATTGTATGATTAAAACGCAGTATACAAACTTGTTCTTTTTTTCGAAAACACTTTTTTCTAACATACTGTATAGTACCTTCAAACTTTGAAAACATCCTTACGTTTTACTCTCAAAGGACTAAAGTAATATAGTTTTATTGAAATGAGCACTTTGAAAACAATCCATATGTATCCATAACTTTTTTAGTAATTTATTGATTGAGATCCGCTTGAATTCAGTAGCTTTGTAATAAAAACCTTATAGTTGATATACCCGAGATATATAATCACATGCTGTCAACTGTTCATGATAATGAGACTATATTTAATTAACTTGAACAATTTATATCTTGTGAGAAACTGCAATATAGTTATCATAACCAAAACCGCATCCACATCTCACCGATGGTACCCAAAATCACCGCCATTCGTCAACAAAAACGCAACATTTACCGGTGTTTCGCTCTTATGCCAGCGTTGAAGTCTCCAAGGTACGCACTGTGTTTCACACCTCCTACAATCCAAATTGGTACTGTCTGACACCACCAGTACTTCGGTACTTGTCACACTATGAATCAGTTACAGTACGCACTACGGCTTATCCACAAACGTCATCGAGGCTTTGACAATTCGTTTCGCGAATGCTTACGGCGGTACTACTTTACTTTACAAGATCGTGCGGGACTTAAAGCTTTGTAAAAAACCGTCTGATTGAGGTTACTATTAATGAAAGTGCTACAGGATGTTGACAATGCTATCTCGTATAGCGTACCACCTCTACTGAATCCGCAAGAATACGAGTACTAAAGTTCGCTAAAAGGCAGTACGAAAAGTAGCACTAGACTTCAAAGAAACCACAAACTACCGCGTTGGGATTTCTGGCACAATATCACAGAAAATCGTACCGGGTACCACCTATCCGCGATAGCAGTACCTCGGGGTAATGGTAATTCCAATCAAGTCCACCCGCGACCACGCAGTGTTTTCAACCTTTCACGCGAGTTGTTGCCACGGTACTGACTCGCTGCGGCGAGACGGGTAGTACGCGAGTGGAGGGGGTAACGAGGGGTGGGGAGGAAGCCTGCCGGCCGTGACGTCACGGCAGGTTGTTACCTTGCCCCGCGTGTGAACCGCGCGCCGTTGCCACGCTTATCGTCCGAACAGGAGATCTGCCTATACAGGCCGGTAAGAAAACGAATGCTGTCAAAAAAATTGTGGTAAAAGGTCTCTAATCTGTGTTAGCCTCGAGAACGACTAACATAGTATTGAAATAGTGGAACGCTGGATTTTTCCAAAATTTGTATATTTAGCCACTTCGCCTGAAGTGTAAGACTCTCCTAAAATGTTGTTTGGTTATATTAGGCGTTGATCAACGTATTCCACTAGAAGATACCGAATTAAAATAGTGATTACGTAGATGGAGCGGGATATAGTTGGGTATCTTCTTCAATGGTCACATGCTACAACGGCCTGTCATTTTAACGAAAATAGTATAAAATGAAATGATATAAAGGTGTTATAACTAAAAGGCAAGAACTTAGTGTCGCTCGCGAATTACGACATTAGTGGGAGCAAGTTTCCGCAGCGCTTGGTGTATTTCCCCACGATGGGTAGCTCCATATAGTTCGGGGTGGTCGTGTAATATTGGGATCTCACCGAATCAGATTTAATATTCCGCTAAAATTTGATAAAGCTACTTAACTCATAGAAAGCAGGTAGTTAAGGCGGTTAGGGGCGTCTCTTCTACAACTTTGGTTTCATCTGGCGTTCCGCAGGGATCAGTTCTGAGGCCTCTGCTAAATTTCATTTATACCTACTATTGATTTGCACTCATGTCTGGAATTTTTATACAAACATATGAATTTTCTCAGTTAAATCGAATGTCGTTTCAAATTACTACTGATCTAATTAATGTTACAGATTCTTGCAAAAAGTACTGTCTCAGGATCAATCCTGAAAAGAGTTAATTATTGTTTGTGTATCGATCTTTCTCTCACACATTGAGGTTAAGTGTTATTAAAGACATTCATTATGATTATTGTCACTTTTTTCGATGTACAATCAATCTGGCAACAACGCAACATTCTTCCATCTACCTGGCCGCCCGATCTCAGCGTGCCACTGTCATGCCCATCTTAGTGTCTTCTCTGGTTGTATATTTCTCTCTGTCTGATTGTTAGTTTGGTCTCACTCTATCTCGCTTAGTCTGATACGCTTCAAGGGTTTTGAAAGATAGATGGATAGAAACAATTCTTCAGCTCAAGTACAATGATTGCGATTTTAAAAAAGGGTCTAGCCGAATTTTTACATTGCTTTAGAAAAAATATTTTCGTAATACTTCTTGGGAGTAAGCATATGAGTTTCTTTAAAAAATCAGCTACTGTATTAACGAAACAACGTTATCAAAATGCAGTATTGGAATTTCAAACTTTTCGTATCTCAAAAACATCAACAGCTCTGAAATATTGAAAATTAAAAATCCTTTTTTGATTCCAATACACTGCGTATCAGAATGTTCTTATTTTCAATCTGTGTTGCCAGATATCTTGTCGTTCTGATCGTAGGAAATTGACAAAGTTGACATATAATTACGAAAACCATTCAATGTCAAATTCTCAGGAAAGAACCTTCTATGAATCTATTTACATAAACGATTTTTTGTTTCTAATTTCATTAATTCGTTCTGATACGACTGCATATCCAAGGTAATGCAAGAAAAAATATTAAAGCGGAAATAAGAGAATCAATGGTGCCACTGAAAACGTTCTTAATACAAGTAGTGATGAGATTATAAAAAAATGGTATCTCCGACAGAATCAATAATTAGTAGCAATTTAGACACCAATAAAGGAATCGTGAATAATAACAGGAGTTTACTATACAAGATGGCGCATCGAAAACGAAACAGACGCATTATTATACTATATAGCGGATAAGTATATCATAGAACTAGCACACAATTATTTTCAATAAAAGTAGCCTAATTTAAATAAGAACAATAGAAAATAAAGTGTAACTATAAAAATGCAACCAAACCGCACTAAATCATGTGAGTGAAAAATCATTAGATTTTGTGAGAGACTAGTGAAAAATCATAGAGCTGTACAACCAGGCCTTTACGACCACTCCATGTTCCTAGGGTGTCGAGATTGTGTCCTTAGCAGCCGCGGTATTTAAGCTGCTTCGTCGTAAGAACATATCGGCCCCAGGGGTCAGCCTTAGCCCCCCTGCTCTACAACATCTATACTCACGATGTACCGAAGACAGCTGACACAATGCTGGCCCTATATGCAGACGACACTGCTATAGCCGCCAAGCATCGACGACCCGAGATCATCCGTAGGAGACTACAGGATGAACTGGACCACATCCAGGACTGGTGCGGGAAATGGAAAATCCGCATCAACGTCCAGAAGACGCAGGCAATCTTCATTCAACGAAGAAGGATTGCAAGACCTCTCGAAGCATCCATCTTCGACGAAGATATCCAGTGGAGCGACAAAGTCAAATATCTGGGGATCGTATTTGACAAGTCCCTCACCTGGAAAGCCCACATAGAAGCTGTCATCGCAAAGACCAGAGCAGCCATGGCTCAACTCTACCCATTACTGGGTAGACACAGCCGGATGCCGCTAGCGACCAAGCTACGGCTGATCAAGGCCATCGCCAGACCTCAGCTCGCTTACGCCTCCGCGGTCTGGGGGTACGCAGCTCCCAGCCAGCGCAAGCGACTTGCCGCTCTAGAGATGAAGCTACTCCGGATTGCCACCAGTGCACCATCCTACGTAAGACACTCAACCTTGCGTAGAGACCTGCATTGGGACACCATTCACGAGTATATGAGGAAAAAAGCGGAGAAGACCTTCCAGAAAGCTCAGGACCACCCGAACGAGCAGCTACGATTCCTCATGGACTACGATCCGGACGAGAGGCCTCGCAACCGCAGAACCAGGTACCCTAGACCAAGGTCCCAGTTGGCACCCGCTAACTGCAACCTTGACTAGGAGAACCCGCGGTTGCTCCCCCCCCGCCACGGCGTGGATGCAGAGGACCAGGACCCACCGGGACCAGGACCCACCGGGACCAGGACCCACCGGGACCAGGACCCACCGGGACCAGGACCCACCGGAACCAGGACCCACCGGGACCAGGACCCACCGGGACCAGGACCCACCGGCACCAGGACCCACCGGGACCAGGACCCACCGGGACCAGGACCCACCGGGACCAGGACCCACCGGGACCAGGACCCACCGGGACCAGGACCCACCGGGACCAGGACCCACCGGGACCAGGACCAACCAGGACCAGGACCCGCCACGACCAGGAGCCACCAGGACCAGGACCCTTCAGGACCAGGACCCTTCAGGACCAGGACCCTTCAGGACCAGGACCAGGAACAATATATAGGTAAGAGGACTTGAAACTCTTGATTTTTCGAAAACAAGAGTTTCAAGAGAACCTAGCAGACCCTCTATCGATGATCGCTTAACGACATCGATAGAATGTGCGAGGTAAAGGGAACCAGAGACTGAAACACAGGAGGAGACGTTGTAGCAGACCGCAGGTCACGGACAACACATGGCCTACCGAGACGCTGATGATTCGCGGGCCACGCTGAGGTTAGGGTTTAGTGGGTATTAGGTGGTCTCCTCAAGACAACCTGGAGTCCCACACACGCCGTAGCTCGGGCTATGGTATGGTGCATAAACGCATTCCCCCCTCACCAAAAAAAAACATATCAGCTGATTTTGTAAAAGAGGATATTTGACAACACCGTTCGAGACACACTCAGCAGACAGATGTTTACAGCACCCTTCTAGTGGGGTTTCCGTAGTGGTGACCCGATATCTCAACAATCCTGCCATGTGTTTATTTCTAGGGGTTGTTCGCCCCGCACCTGTACCGGGCCAAGGCCGTTATGTGCCGCGTTGCCACGTTTACCTCTTTTAATGCGATATGCTGAATCGTATAAGAAATTTTTCAACAGTAAAAAATGAACGAAGTATACAGGGTGTCCGATAAATACCACGACAAACTCAAGGAGAAGGTAGGCTTTGAACTTACCTCCCAAATAACAAAAACTTACCTATATCAAAGTGTTACCGTCTTTGAGATATTGTTTTTTATCTTCAATTTCAAAAATCGAACCGTTTCATCTGTGGTCTTTAGATGCATATACAAATAAGGTTACACTTTGTTCAATTTTTCTATAAAATACTTCTAGATAGTTGCTTCATCATATACAAATGCAATGTGGTTAAAAGATATTAAGGAACCGTGATAAAATCTCTCTGTAACACGTATAAATAGTACTCGGCGTTTTTCACGAAGGTGATTGCCTCTTCATTTGAAAATCTTTCCTTTCTGGGTGTTGCATTCTATACTAAGTGACATATAAATCCGAACACCCAGTTTAAATGGTTTTATTTTAATAAAAGTTGGTGAATGTATTTATCTTACTGTAAATAACAAGTGAAAAAATTTTCAGCCTTATCAGTTGGACATTCCGGTTTTTATACTGCTTTTTTTTAATTCACTAACGCTCTAAAAATGAATATTTTAGCCGCAGTAAAGAATCAACGTTGGTGGATTTTGGTTCTTGACATCCTTTACGATCGGTTACGATGCCTAGAGTACGGAGACCTGTACGATTTCGTCAACTTAGTGAGTTTGATAGGGGCCGTATAGTGGGACTTCGGGAAGCTGGACTTTCTTTTCGGGTAATTGCAGTTAGAGTGCAAAGAAGTGTAGACACTGTGGTTAGGTGTTGTCAGGCATGGCTTCGAGAAGGCCGTACGCAAAGAGCAAGAGGCACTGGACGCCGCCGTAGAACAACAGACCGTGAAGATCGCCGCCTAAGATTATTGGCCTTAAGGGACCGTTTCTCCACTACCAGGTCCATTGCAAATGAATGGTTTGCAGAACATGGAAGACCTATTGGCATGCGAAGTGTTTACTGACGAATGAGAAGTTTGGCTTGTTTTCATACCGGCCACCCTGGGTCC